TAAAAATAAAAAGAGAGAAAAAAGATTTTTTATTTTTAGTTTTTAGTTTTATACATTTACCTTTCTCTTCTTTGGCCTCTATCATCTCTCATGCTCCCTCCTTTCTTTAACCAAAAAACAAAAAAACAAAAAACAAAAAACAAAGTCACTAATTCCTAACCAATCTTATATATAGACAACATAAGCACTAAGCACCAACAAAAAAAATTCAAAACACTTGAGAACCAAACCAGAACTTGCTCTCATCATCATCAATGGCAGAGCTAGAGAACCCAATAGTGATGACCAAGATCATCACATTCCTCTCATCTCTGGTTCAAAGGGTGGCTGAATCAAATGACATCAATCCATTCCAAACCCAGAGAATCTCAGTCTTCCATGGCCTAACCAGGCCCACCATATCAATACAGAGCTATTTGGAGAGGATTTTCAAGTATGCCAATTGTAGCCCATCTTGCTTAATTGTTGCATATGTTTATCTGGATCGGTTTTCTCAGAGGCAACCAACTCTGCCCATCAATTCGTACAACGTTCACCGGTTGCTGATTGCTAGTGTCATGGTGGCTGCAAAGTTCATGGATGACATGTAAGTGTGGTGAAGTTGAATTTTATTAGCTTATGATGAGCATTTGTTTCGAAAATCTCTTTGGATTTGAACTTTTGGTGTTTTTGAGTACTTAGAAATTTTTTGTCAAAGTTATTTATACGAGTTTATGTGGTCATTATCATTGTGTTCATACGAGTTTTGGAATATTCTGTTTCCTGCATGAATGTGGATGGAGATTGGATATGAATTCACTGGGTTTTTCTTTTCTGAGTCTTCCCTTATTAAGCTTGCAATGTCTCTGAGCTATAGAGTTCTCACTGCTTTCTGATCTGGGTTTGCTTAATTTCTTGCTTTGGTATCTTCATAATTTCATACAACTCTGTAATTACTTGGAAAAAGTTGGAGGTATAAAACCTTCTGATTTGGAATGATTCTATAAAAACTCAGAGAAAGAAAGTTTTAATGGGGTGTTAGTTGGATTGGCTCAGGCCTTTGACTTCAAACTCCCGTGGTACTCATGTGTGTGAGTTTTACCCTCTCTCCTCCTTCCTAACTTTGACCCCAAACAAAAAAAAAAAAAAAAAAAAAAAAAAAAAAAAAACAAACCAGCAAGGCTTTGTAGGGGCTTTTAGCTCAATTAAGAGCACTTACCCCTGCACCCGAGGTCGTAGTCTCTTCCTACCTGGCTAATTATGTTTTAACTAAAAATCCAAATAATCTCAGCCATGTGCTACTATGGCTTTCCTATATACATGGAGTGGAGAGTCCACCAAGATGCACATGGTGACATAATTTAATAATTTTAATCAAATAACATGATGAAGAAATATGGCTCATAGAAAAGTTTCTGTAATGTGAAAGCTATTTTTGTAATGGGATCTATTTGCTGTAGATTTATTGCCAGAATTGACTAATTTCCATTTTCATAAATGTGCTGTAATATTCAGGTACTACAACAATGCTTATTATGCAAAAGTTGGTGGGATCAGCACAATAGAGATGAATTTTCTTGAAGTGGATTTCCTATTTGGTTTGAGCTTCAACTTAAATGTGACCCCTTCAACCTTCACCACCTACTGCTCCTACCTCCAAAGAGAAATGCTCCTCTTGCAGCCTCCTCTAGATTCTGCAGATTCTTCTCTTAGTTTAGGCAAATCACTAAAGCTCCATTTGTGCTTTGATGAGGAGGAAGCCTCCCATCAGCCACAGCAGCTAGCTGTTTGATTAAAGCTTCAAAGGTTGTTGTTGCATTTTAAATTTTTAAAAGAAGGAAGTTGTTGAGTTGTAGTGATTTTTGTACTTTGCCCATATTTTTTGGGCTGGCAATATGAACATTAGATATTTCTGTCCTTTTTTTTTTTCCTTTTTCTTTTTTGGGTTTTGTAATTGAAGTTATTTGGCATGTTATGTACAGATGGGTCTTGAATTTCCAGTTTGGAAAAGCAATACCTCTAAATGACTTTTTTTTTCTTTTTCTTTTTTCCTTCCCTAAAGTTAGGAAAATGAAGGGAGGAAAACTCACATACAGAGGTACTATAGGGGTTAAAACCCAAGACCACTTGGAAGCACACCAAAACCTGATTCAATCCAAATAACACTCCATTGTTCCTCTAAATGGCTTGTTTGGTTGATACTTGTTCTTATCCATAAATTTTAGGGTTCTCTTCTTGACTTTTAGGTTGCCACAAGTGAAAAACGTAGGTGGCCACTGGCCATGCAAGACAATTTGCTCATACTTGGTCACAATTTGGAGGTATATGAGTGGTGGGTGTGAAAGCTAATTAGGTGACATGGGTAGGACCGGTGAACAAAAGAATAGTTTGTGTCAAGAGAGTACTGTTTTATTTTATTGCAGTCATATTTGGTGTGGACAGTTGTATTGATCTTGAGATGGGAACAAGGAACATGTGCAATCATGGGCCACTGGTTGGGGGAGAGAGAGAGAGAAGTTTAGAAATTAGTACTGAGTTGTAGAATTTGACAGGCTGGCTTAGAAATCTAAGAATGTTATTCATATAATGGTTTTCCAACGTGGTTATATTGTTTGACTGTTAATACGTGGTTATATTGTTTGACTATTAATTTGATCTATATAGTATTAATATTAATGTTTATTTATCATATTATTTAATATGTTATGTTATCAAATTATTAATCTGGACGACATTTGAATAAAAATTCATATCGTCTAAACAGAGAACATTTCTTGGCATGTGCAAGAAGAGTGCATAGAAGTTAACATAAAACAAGCATGTCTTGTGGTCATAGTTCTTGTCTAGAAAATGAGAGATGCATGATGCTTGTCCTTGGCCAGCTAGTTGTACAACCACTAGAAACTCATCTTAGATTTTGATAACGCTATAAAATCTGAGCTGGGATACATTGTAATTTGTAACTCCTGCCTCCTCTGTCCATTTCAACTACGTACATCAAATCCATGTGGTAACCCAACCCTGCTCATGGACTCAGCTACACACACTCTGCAAACTGACAACACAATACATTGACCATCCGCCTAAGAAAAAGTACGAATTTTCCTGTCCACCACATGTTTTATGACCATATGTTTATCTCTCTCATCCTGTACCTAACGCGATAAGATAAACCAATATGGTTGTACACAACCATTTGAATCTAAAAATGATTCTTAAAATACGACACACATTTCGGTTTATACATCTTGAAAACTTGGATAAAAATCCTTATTATAAAAGGCAGAGCAGCTGCAGTCAATAGGTAACGAAACTGGACAGCCTCATTTGGGGTCACAGCAAACACTGCAGAACCATAAGTCACAATCATAGACACTGTGGCAACCAAGACCTCAAAATGGAAAGGGAACCTGTGAGTAAGCGATATGATTATGAAGATGGCAGTGGAAAGAGCCAAGGTGTTTGATATCAAGAACACATAAAATGGTGCTATGTGAGTTGCATAAATGGCTCTCCCTGCAGTGTGGCCATTCTGACTGTCTTGCCAAACACCTCCGGGAGGGTTGACGCCGGCTTGGAAGGTCACCGCAGTGATCAGTGCTGCAACTACTAGCAAAACATTGCGTGCATCGCCGGGAGAATCGTTTCCTTCGTCGTATTGGAAGCTCTTCAACCAATTCCACCCTAGTTTGTTTGGTGGGTTTGGAGCATTCGCCATTTTTTTTTCCTTTTCTATGAAGCTAGCTAGCGATGATGTATAAGACTCGGTTTCTAAGGTGTCTATATAAATAGCATGTGGTGTTGCAAAATGAGTTGCTGCATCAATCACTAGCCTTTAGGTTTCTTTACTCTGGTCAACGTCAATGGAGAAGCAACCAGGGAGAGAAGAGGAAGTTTCTTTTGACTCAGTACATGAAATATGTGGCAGCACCAACAAATAAAAAGCCAAAACATGTACTCGCCCAGTCAAACTATGTATATGCATAAAAAGTAAATTTAGGTTTTAGCCATAAAAAAAACCCTCATCCACGAAATCGCGTTCGAGAGAACATTGAAACGGTATTTCGTGTTTCATTTGAAAACAGCAAACAGTAAACATCAACGCGTTATGTAATCCAACTCATTTGTTTAGATTCCTGGATGGTTCAGAGACTAGGACAAGTTTTTGTTTCTGTTGAGCAGGTCAAAGTCTACTAACAACGGTCTACGAATAACAAAAGCATGGTAGAAAGCTACCTTAATTCATCCATCTTCTCTAACAAAAGTAGTGAAGGAATATCTTCATGCCAATCAATCATTTGCTTCTTTTACCTTAGTTCAAATGAGGAAGCATCAAGGAAGAGAAGTAGACGTTTCTTTTACATGGGTACATGAAATTCACGGGAGCAACTTCAAAGTGCCAAAAGGGGGAAAGTAAAAATTGGGTACTTCGACCAAAAAGATAAAAAAATATCCGGGTACATGAGACTGCTGCAACACTAGGTTGCACAAGCACGCAAAGCTTAATATGATGCATTGTGCTCCCCACTTCCATCAACATTCAAGATCAGTCTCTATGGGCTTGCCCTGCTGGAAATATGTCTATCAAGCAAGTCAAAGCTCAGGAACAAGGGTTAGAATTCCCCGTTTAGGCATCACTTTAACAGGAAAACAACTTTTTTTAAATAAATAAAAAAAAGCCCTAAACCCTAAACCCTATGTCAGCCTATGAGTAACAAAAATAAGCCAAAACCTTACTTCATTCATCCATATTCTTAAATTTTTACATAAACGTCCATTTATACCTCAGACATCAATGTAAGGTCTCAAAGGACAACATTGGCAAGTGTACTTTGAGAGGGAGGTGGTGTGACAACAATATCAATATGTAGACAACTGGAAATCAGCTCCACACGAGCTAATATCACATGCACTACTGAGGAATGCGCAGAATTGAGTTGAAAACATCAAGTTGCCTAAAATCCTAATTGCAGGCTCTTCCCTTTTTTTTCAGAATCAAGCTGCACTAACAATAAAAATAATTAAATAACGTAGCGGTAGGTGATATATCGCCCTGCAGTCTCACTCGGACGGACTATCTTCACAACTTGTCCACGCTTAAGCCCATAATATTTTGCAATTGGATCGGTCACTTGAATCCGAGGAAGCTGGACTCCATCCACCCAATATATGCACACCAAAGAAACAATTTAGTGTCAAGGTGGATTAAAGCCAGATAAGTAGAGACTAAGATGTGTTTACAACACAACCATGAAAAATCTCCAAAGATGAGTAATATTTTGTCATAAAATGAGGTCACGCCATGTCTTATGTAGCATCTAAATTTCTTAAATGCAATATTAACAACACTGTTCAGCACTGACCTGTGTTTCTTTCACAGTATACCTCTCCAGTAAAGTCTTCTTTTCCTCAGTTGTAAGCACCAGATGCTCAGGAACTAGCACATGCTCTTTAATATTCACCAACAATTCTGCCTCCTGAATCAATAGAGTTAATGAAAGAAAACGTTAACATCCACTAACACATTATTCTCATGTTGCAATTGTATTTATTTTATAGACTAAGTGGAGACAATATGACTGGAAAACAAAACATCTACAAGCCAAGCTGAAGTGAAAGCTGTATTCCCAGAAAAAGTAAATCAAACAATGCGAAGTAGTTATTCAAGACAGACCTGGTTTTAGCCATCTCGGTTAATTAACATTATCCAATCCATCACTCTAATGTAGGGTAATACCTATACAATTAAGAGCGTTTGATCAAATAAATTGTCATTCTTTAAAAGGCCCTTGGAATATAAACAAACTAAGCAGGCTACGGTGGTAACAGTGATCTTTCAGTGTATAGACTTAAATTTTCTGATACTAAGACATGACCAAGTAAGAATTCCGATGTTTCTGATAGGTAAGGATTAATAGATTATAGTGATATTCAGGAGATTTTGAGAACATTTAACCAAAATTTAAGCAATGAACGTCACCTGAAAAACCTCCAAGTGGAACTTTGAAGATATCTCACTGATACAGGTCTTTGCAAAGGGAGTCAGATTTTGTTGAGTAACCAAGACAGCTCTGAGCACATTCTCCGATTTCATGCGGTTAGTATAAGTCTTCATTGTCTTGACCCCAACCTTTGGTTCTTCAGGAAAAAAGACATAAATCTGAAACACAAGAACCAACAATTAGAGACGGATAACACTACATCCACTGCAATAAAAAGCATCAGGGACACACCTGATCAGAGCTATCACTTCGCTTAGTTTTATTGATAGTAAGATCTTCCCTTTTCATGTTTTCGCCATATTTGCTCTTGAACTGTTCTCTTGTCATGTTGATCTCAAAATCTCCAACTAAGTAATTCCGATCTTTCAGCATTTGCATCACCGTCTTTCGAACTCTGTAAAGCCTCGTGATTTCTTCTTCGGGGTAAACCATCTTTGTCACTGATAAGAGTACAAAAATTAGCTTGGTAGTTAGGTTTCTTTGGGATTATGAAAATTCAATTTTGCAAATGACTATAAAATCTACAGTTACACATGTAGCTACCAAAAGCTGATTTCCCATGCAATTGAAAACGAGATTGGTTATCGAATCACAGCCAAGCAACAACGAAATCAACTTAAACCAAAACAAAATTCAACTATTCCATTAACTTTTCTACACAAAAAGAAAAGGCCTTTGCTCTAGAAACCATAGAAACGAGGACACTAGAGATGAATCAAGATGATTAGGGCATTTGATCAAGTAAACAAGAAAGAGTGTATCAAAGGCTTTCCGAAAAGAGGGGAAAACGAACCAACCACAGTTACCAAGTAATACATCAAATCAACAAACCAACCACAGCTAACAAGTACTTCAAGAAGCAGATGTAAAGTAAGTATACTCAGAATATTTTACAGCTAACAAGTACTTCCAGTTTTTGCAGTTTGGAATATTTTACAGTTCATCATCATTCAAATACATAAAACATCAAAACCAAAAGACATATGCAGAAATCTAAAAATCAAGAAAGACCCATGCATTTATGAAGAGCATACTCAGAATGTCATACAACCAGGTTTTGCAAATGTGGGAGAGAGCGAGTGAGTGGCTCTTATCCAACGGTAATCCAGCTCTTATTCAAACAGCAGCCAAAACAGCAACCAAAAATATAGCAACCGAAACAGCAACCGAAAATATAGAAAATTACCAGAAATAAACACAGCAAGCCAATCCTTTTTCCTTAGCCTTCAAATCAATGCTGTCCAGAAAATATATATATACAGCAATCAAATACCATAACGTCAATATCAGAAATCAAATACCATAAGCCACTTTACAAAGTTGCTCCAAACATCAAGAAACAAAGCAAAGCATAACAGCTGACAGCGTGTGCAATTTAAAATTGAGTTATGATTTCAAACCATGTTCCTTAGTTGCCTGCCTGAGACATATTGCTTGAAAATATATATACAATATAATAATTGAATGTCAACCACAACCAGTTGCAGCAAGAATCTACATTCAAATATAACAAATTATATAATGTCATTGCACTCTTATAGCATTTCTATCTAACAGAAAAAACCGTAAGGATATAAAAAGGATATGAAAATAGACTTGAAACGCATCAATTCCAGCAACAACAAAAACACTTCTGTCCCAAAATCAATTATATGATCCTAGATATGACCAGATATTACAACACCACCACCAGAAATAAATCAAACAGCAACAACAACAAAGATTACCATAAATTACCTAGACCAAGCCCATCGTTTCCTATGATCCCAAAATCAATTCTGTCCACAACAAATCACAACAGAGTCAGATCAGATAAATATAATTAACAAAAATTGTCAAATCCCCAAAAAATTTAATTAGGGTTTACACATATTCATACCTCAAACCGACAAAAATCGAGAGAGGGAGACTGAGAATGACTAAGAGAGAGCAAGAAAGACTGAGAGAGAGCGAGAGTGGCTGAGAGAGAACCACGTAGAAACTGGCTGAGGGAGACGAGAGTCAGAGCGGGTGAGAAAGAGAGAGAGAGTGGGTGACTGACAGAGAGCAGGTGACAGAGAGAGTGACTGAGAGACTGAATGACTGAGAGATTGGATGGAAAAAAAAAAAAAAAAAAAAAAAAAAAAAAAAAAAAAAAAAAAAAGAGGAAGTGACTGAGAGAGAGCAGAGTCAGAGTCGAGTGATGAGAGAGAGAGATCGGCTGAGAAAATCTGGAGAAAAAAAGAGAGGCAGAGGCGACTCAGGCGAGAGTGATTGAGAGAGGCAGAGGCGAAATGAGAAAAAATTTCGAAGCCCAGATATGCTAGGGGTTCGCAGATTCTGGTGTAGGAAGGACTATACATGCCAATGAGGCCCTGTTTGGTACACCTCCTTGGATTGCCTTGGATTGGACTAACTTAAATAACACCCTAAGCCCATGTTTGGTGCAGCCCATCTTTAAGTTAAAAGAGACTATAGTGCATGCAAGCAGCTGGCCCGGTGAACAGCAACTAGAATGATACTCGAACATCAAGCAATGTCGTCAACTGAGAAATGAACTCTGGGTGGCCCGGCCAGGCTGCTCTACTAACCAAATTTCATCCGTGAAGCAAAGATCTATTGGATCAGGTTCCAGCCATGTTGCTCCCGACAAAACCACATTAAGCTTAACCGCTGGATACGCAGTACATTTCATTTCTTTCCCTAAAATTTAGCCAGTTAACAACAATTAGGACATGATTAAAAAAAGTTCATAATGTGAAAATAAGTAAATCAACCCTCAATTCAGCAAAAGGCAAACAGATTACAACTTCAAGGTGGTTTCTTTTTTACCTTGTCATAAAATACTCACTCAGTAAATCAACCCTCTTACAAAATTGATGATACTCCCAACTCTTCCTAACACCTTCTGAAAAACTGAAACTGCCTAGCTCGGCCAAGCCTTTTGGTTTTCCTTACTAGGTAATTTCTTGTTTTACCCCATTCTTAAACCATTCCATCTAGCATAGATTTTTACTGCATATATTCCTTCAGAGAATTCTGCATTACAGTACACACCTTCTGACTTTTATATTACAGCACAAATGTTCATGCACCAACTGGCAAGCTTGCTCATCGACACCCACAGAACAAACATTTAAATTTACGATCAACTACATTGATAGTGAGTAAAAGAACAAATAAATCCACAGATTATCTGTATATTGTCTTTTTGGTTAAACTTCCCACACACAAAATTAATTTTACTCTAGCATTTTAGTTGATGTTAAAAAGCGTAAGAAGTTACGTAATCTACATTATAAATGTATATCTACCACGGAAATGCTATAATAAGGAGTTGTGGGTGAGGGGTTCAATACCCCCCACTCAGATCCCCCTCATTGTAGCATCTCCCATATCTACCATATCATGCTTGGACTTTAAAATTCCAAAATTTATAATCTTTATTTTGTTATATGATTTTGGATTGTTAATGAGGATTTTGCATCCTTGTTTGTGTGCCTAACAAATTAACTTTATATTATTGTTTCTGCATTTTGTACACTTTCAACTCATTTAGTTTCAGAAATCAACTTATTGAACTTCTGGACAGCATGGGACTGATCCCAACAACACGGGACCCAACCCTATTAAAAGATGAGCTATAGATACAATAAAACTACAGTGTCACCTAAGCAGGGATTACAGCTTCACTTTGTTTCAGTTGAACCCAATTATTGGAGCAATTCCTTTGGTGGCATCACATGGAATTATAGAAAGTCAGTAATATTTTTAACAACATCAATACTATGTTTGACGCCATAAATAGAATATAATGACTACGAGACAGAATGGATCTCCTTGAATTCATTGGAACACGAGCCGTCTTCTAGCCCCTCTCTCTCGCTCAGACATAACCGGCGACCTCTCTTTTTCAATCCTTATATATATATATATCTCTCTCTCTCATAGCACATCGTCATCTCGTCCCTAACCTTGGAGATTCCAAAATGGCTTTTTTTTTCTAGGCGCTAGCGCTTGCCTAGACCACCTAGATTGCCTAACGCCCACCTAGTAACTGCCTAGCCCGCCCTGTTGAAATATAAGTGTTTTAGCTGATATTGTTTTGTATTTAGTTTAAATTTACAGATTTAAATGTGAGCTCTTGGATTACAGTCCAAGTGGACAGCTAAGATGTAATATTAAACTAGAAGAATGGATGGCTAGATTTGGATGATGTAATTTGGAATATCTTATTCCAGGTGTTATGAGTGCACAGTGTGTGCGTGAGAGAATAACATATTCATCTTTTTTGCTCCTTCCTCAAGCTCCCTCTCACTCTGAAAATCTCTCTGAAACCTCTGCTCATTCAGCAGCAGTTGTAGAATGCAAGTAATAATTCAGATCATAGTCTGAATTCTAACACGCCTAGCCCGCCTAGCGCATTTATTCAGTAATATTAACAATATGAGTGAGTGTGTTCAAGGATTTAACTTGTAAAGAAGATTTCCGAACAACAATAGATAACCCAGAGATGTTTCCACATAGACTTATCCTCTTGGGAACCACCCATTGCCTTCCCAATTCCACCAACTGCAGAACTGTTCCACCTTTTGGTTTTGGGTTTTAGTATCACAACTTTGATTAAGAACGTCAATATATGAAGATGAATCGAAGTGCTGTTTCAGTTTTTTAGTTTCTATGTTTCTCTTACTCTCTGTTTTCTATGTTTCTCCGTCTCCGGCACAGTCGGATCACCACACTCACATGTAGATCTGTGTCTGTGGTGGCTCCCGTGGGAATTGTCTTTGATGGAAAATTGAGGAGATTCTGTCTGCGACCACTCTATCTTGTTTGCTTTGGTCATTGACCATTAACGTATTATTCTTTTTCATTTGGTTTTGATTTCACAATTGTGTTTCTTATTTCTTGCTCATGTTTCACTGTTTCATAAGAGGATATTATTGGTCCCCCCTAAGTCCTTGTTGGGCAGCATAACATCAAAAGGTTTTATTTTCGCATGAATGTTCCTTAGGTACGATATTTTTGTTGCTTGTGATTGTCGATGATCATACGTCATCTAATTGGTTCCTCTTCCATTAGTGGTATGAGATTTTGTTCTGCACATTTCTTCATATTTTACTGTTAGAGTTGCTTTGTTGTGGCCTCCTTTTCGGAGCCTCCCTTTCTGTTGCATGGTTTTTGCCCCTATACAAGCCTTGGCAGTTCCAAAGTAGGGAGCAGTGTTTGGCGGTTCATTTGATCCTCTACAAGCATTGCAGTTCCAAAGTCGGGAGCATACCATCCCAAAGAACTCCCACTCCTGGGCCCACCAGCTAAAGAGAAAGAAAAGTACAACTAACATAAAAAAGAAAGTAAATTTGATGACTAACGGTTTTATTGGGTGTTTTCAACGTTAACAAATAAGTTTGGAGTAGTTTCTTGTGGTTTGATGGTTACTACAACACCAGATAAGTTTTGCCTTGTTGGCCATATTATGTTGTTACATTTAGAACGATCATCTAAGTGTTTTCTTTGTTACTTTTGTTTTCCTTTTGTTGTGTCATTGTGTCACTGTTTTTGCGGTTTGGAGTAAAAAAAACCGGTCCAATCCTGTTCAAAGCCGGTTCAGCCAGTTTCTCTACCGGTTCTTTGATTTTTTAATATAAAAACCGAACCAAACCACCTAAAACAGTCCGGTTCGGTCAGTTCGATCGGGTTTTCTGTAATAATGCCCACCCCTACTTAAATTCTACTACCAAGTAGAAAGGAGAAGAAGCATGCATATCCCATCTTTACCACTAGAAAATCTCTGTGTTAATAGCAAAAACTCTATTCAAGTCAAGACACAGCCATTGAATATAGCCATTATTGTTATTAAAAAAAATTAGGAAAACCCCAAAAAGCCAAAAAAGAAAACCAAAGAAATAATGTTTGTTACGTTGCCCCTCCCCATGTTTAAAAGTCCAAAGAAAAGATTCGGCACAACCACAGTTACTTTGTACTTTTATTTTCATCATCGTCTCCTCTAAAAACAAAAATCCGAAGGAAGAGGAGAGGAGTTGGGCTGAATGTGTGGACACTAGTGGGGCTAGAACTTCTGCTATGGACCTTCAGATGCAAACTGATGTTGGCTCTTCCATTTATGCAGCTGAACCATGAAATTACTCTTTTGGAATGGTCGAGACTGTTCTCTCAACCTAATTTTGAAGGGACAAACTGGATGGTCATGATGTTGTTTGTATTTTCAAAACCAAATTATCTCCACAAAAATTTGGGATTTTTTTTTTCCAATGCTGGTGTTGACTTTATTGTAAAAATACTTATAACAGTTGCCTAAGATGCTAATTGCAAAGACTGCTTCACTTGTGAACTCTCTCTCATCCAGCCACAAGTATTTATAAACAGAGCACTAGCAGGTCAGGTGAACAATGAAAGTAAGTGCATTACACAACATAACGGTAGGTGATGTATCGTCCTGCAGTCTCACTTGGCCGGATTATCTTCACAACGTGTCCACGCTTAAGCCCGTAATATTTTGCAACTGGATCGGTCAACTGAATACGAGGAAGCTGAACTCCATTGACCCCAAAATATATACAAGAAACAATAAGTATCCCAATCGGTTTGGTTTGCCACTGAAAGCTAAGATGTGTTTGAAACATACATACATGAAACATCACAATCTTGAGAGGGGACAAAAAGAAATAGTTCATTAAAAGAACAATAAAACCACTCAATTTAATAGATTGTGGCACATTTTAGTGTGTAAGCATCTAGATATAGGTCAGGTCATGGCATGTGTTACATAGCATCCTAATAAATCTCTTCAATGCAAGATTAGCATTGTTTAGCACTCACCTGTGTCTCTTTCACAGTATACCTCTCCAGTAAGGTCTTCTTTTCCTCATTTGTAAGCAGCTGATGCTCAGGAACTAGAACATGTTCTGTAACATTCACCATCAACTCTGGCTCCTAAACCGATGGAGTTAACAGGAAAAAAAAACATTAATATCCTTTAAATTTGCGAACAATGCATGCTGCAATTATTGTCCTCCTCACAAAGGTGATGCTAGTACGTATATATAATATATACACGGACAAGAAGAAACAACCACGACCTTCAACCCAAGTTGAAGATGTCCCAGAAATAAGTAAATCAAACACTGCAATGAAAACCCTCAAGACAGACCTAGTTTTTAGGAAACATAGCGGAACCTAAGACAGACCTGGATTCGATTTGTTGGAATTGCCAATTGGGCCTCTCAAAACGAACATTTATCAGATAACCCCGTGCATCCAATCTGTCACTAAATTATAGGCAATATCAATTTGTCATATTTTACTAATACTATTGAGTGCATTTGATGAGATACATTTTCCTTTTGAAAGGCCCTTGGAATGGAAACCAACTAAGCATGTTACAACAGTGATGTGTCTGTAGAAAGAAACTGAAGTAAATCATCATGTTTCTGATACTAAGACTTTCCCAACTAAGAAAGCTGATGTTTCTGTTACCCTTCATTTCCGTAGATCCTTTAATAGATTATGGTGACATTCTCAAGATCTCAGAAACACAATTTCATCAATCTAACAACAGTTTTAAGCAATAAACTTCACCTGAAAAACCTCCAAGTGGAATTTTGACGATATTTCGCTTATACAGGTCCTTGCCATGGGAGTCATATTTTGTTGAGTAACCAAGATTGCTCTGGAAACATTCTCGGATTTCATGCGGTTGGTGTAAGTTTTTATGGTCTTGACCCCAACCTTTGGCTCTTCAGGAAAGAAGACGTAAAGCTGATACAAAAGAACAAACAATTAAAGACCGAATGACACTACAGGCTGCATCTACTGCAATAAAAGGCATCATTGAAACACCTGATCGGTGCTGTCATTTCGCTTTGTCTTATTGATAGTAAGGTCTTCCCTTTTCATGTTCTCTCCATATTTGGCCTTGAACTGTTCTCTTGTCATGTTGATCTCAAAATCTCCAACTAAGTATTTCCGATCTCTCAGCATTTGCATCACGGTTCTTCGAACTCTGTAAAGCCTTGTGATCTCTTCTTCCGGTAAAACCATCTTTCTCACTTAGAGATTAAAAACCCCAGCTTGTATATACAAGTACGTAGCTTCCAAAAACTGCTTTTACATACAACTGAATATGAGATATTTGTTATTTCAATTTAATCACATCCAAGCAACAGCATGATCAAATTTCAATAAATAACAAACTCAACAATTCCATTACTCTTTCCGCAGAAAACAAGGCACAATGTACTGAGGATATATTGGTTAACTTGGAAAATTTGTGCTCTGTTCGGGCACTCGAAATCATTTACCATGACCATACTCAGAAGACAAGATTTCCAAATCACAAAAAACCACAAACACAACACATCCAAAGCACATTTCGATTTGGAAAAGACTTTGTTTTGGAGAAATTGTAACTTGTAGCTTCTCTAAAAAGCTGAAATCCATACAAAAGTAGCAAGGAAAAGGACCATACAGAGCCCATCTTAATTTTACCACCAGGCCCCAATCCAAGACACATATACCAAATCAACTTCCCAAAACACAAACTTGCCATTGGATGATAGAAACCCAGAATTATTAAACTAAAAAATGATCTGTTCCTATGAGTAAATAACCAAACCCCACAAAAATGTGAGCACCTCCCACAAAAATTCCAACATTTTGCTTCCGAAAGCATAAGATTGACACCATAAATCCACAATCAATGAAGGAAGAGGAATACCTTTTTGGCCCTTTGCAGCAAACCAAGCCTCCGAGTCCGAGATTGGATAGGAAGTGCTGAAGGGGGGTTATGATCTTGCCAAATATGCAGAAGCATGCAAAAGCATGAGCTGCTGCCACCTGGAGATTATAGCAACTTACGTGTACAGTTAATGATGTCAAGGCCTTCCTCCTCTCTCTCCTGTGTGGGCTGTTAAGTAATGGGGTCTTAATCTCAAGCCTGTTAAGTTTCCTTTTACATTTTCTTTAATATCTAAAAATGAATTTTTGGCCAATTAATAGGTTCAAAACATTTGACTAGAAAATTATGAATTGGCTATTGAAAATGAATATATTTTAACATCAATTTTAATCTATTTTTTCTCGAGTAGAAATAATATAAATTGGTTTCCAAATTGTTTGATAATGTACTTTATTCTTAACGCGGTCTTTGTGTTCTACAAAATTAATGAATATGGTACTTTAAAAAAATTTCAATAATTCAATTGAGTGGTCAAATGATATCAGATTTAAGTGATTTTTTGTAGAGATGATCTTTGAATGAGTATCTACAAAGTAGACGTTTGGATTAGTGAAATACAACACGGAATGATCCCTACAAGGGTGTCCCTCAAATAAGCTACTTTGAGAGATCCCTCAGTGGAACCTCTCCGCCATCAAAAATTATAATTAAAAGAAAAATCAGATAATAGATACTATTTTTATGAAACACAACTACCCATTATCTTTTTTAATTCTAAAATAAATTTATTTTAAAAATAAATAAAAAAACCTCTCCCAGGCGCTTTTGCGCGTGCGGAGAGACTAGTATATTTTAATATAAAATAAATCGTAGGGATCCTAAAGGTAATAGCGGAGTAAAGTGTTTTGCTGCTTTTCTAGGATCCATTATTTGCCCAATGAAATCGATGGCTTGTTGGTTGGACATCACTGTCCATAATGGATGACTTGCTAGCACAAGAAACTCTGTATCGTCATCTATCAACTCCACCACCACATGAGGTTCACAGGTAATATATTTCTCCAAGGCGTTGATACCAAAGGCCCTTGTTAATGGTATTGTTAGAGGTAAGTTTAGTGGTAACATCACTTTAACACGTGGTTTCTGGAGGTTCTGTTCCAAAACCACCTCTCTTCTCAACTGCTTCTCTTTCCACTTCCACACTTATTGGCTCATGATCGACAGATAGTTGTTTAGCCACTCCATTATTCTTGCAACAGAAAACAGCTCGAGCGTCGCCAACATTTGCTACCACCTGTCCATGGTTGTCAATTAATATTGCAGCAACTGCAGTTGAACCATCTACTAACTAACCATCACCATTATCACCGTACGGCCCCCATACCATGGCGTTGGTCTAATTCTTTAATTTTCAAGTAAATATAAATAGAGTTAAAACTATGATTTCCTAATTAATTTTTAATTAGAGAAAAAAATTCAGTGCATTTTGTACTATTGTTTAGCTAAAGAAATAAATTAGTTCGAAATTAATTGGTATGCATTCAAATTCATATAATTAATAGTCAAGCGAGTGATCTTAGAGGGAAATTGTTGTAATTAATTAATATGACAATTAAAAAAGTTTCAAGTGACTTTTGGTTCTAAATTTTGGTTATACTTGTCTTTTTATTATTTATTACTTATTATATATACAAAGTTATAGTTGTCTTAAATGCTCATTGTAGTGATCAATGTCTAAAATATCGATGGTTTTATAAATATTGGTAATTCAAAAATACGGATATTTCGATAGAAATATTGGGATATTATCAATATCGATAAAAATCATGGAAATTGTAAGAAAAACTTGGAAACTTTTCTTGAAACTTTGGAGGATGTTTATATAGTCAATTATCTATTCCTTTATCACAAAAATTGGAAGGAAATGCATTGCATAATGGATTTAACTTATTTAAGTTGATTATATAACGAGCTAACAAACACTGCAAGTGTAGAAAATATATAGTAATTAATGAAAGAAGATTAAACACAGCATAATCATTTATTTATAATGATTTACTACAATATTTTACACTTTATACATTACATGGTAAGATACATAAGTGACTTAATACCACATAGAGTACCTATAAGGTTCAAATTTGAGTTATTTACACTAATACCTCATGAGGTTTCGGCTTTTTCACAAAACTCCTTGAGGTTTTAGAAATTACAATAACACCCCCTGAGGTTTTAAATTGTTGTCACAAAACTCATTTTCATTTATTTTCCATCCAAAGATTGATGATTTTATACAACAAAAATTCTCCAAATGACAAAGTTGACCTTTGAGATTAGATTGCATATGCTTCATTGAGGTTAATTTTGTCATTTGCATAAGTCGAAAATTGATTTTCGAACAAATCTACTCATAGGGGGTTTTGTGAAAACAAACTGAAACCTCAGGAGGTGTTCGTGTAATTTTTTAGACATGAGGGGGTTTTGTGAAAACACAAGAAACCTCAGGGGGTGTTAGTGTAAATAACTCTTCAAAATTTTCATTGTCTTCATTATCCCGATATTATCGATATTATAGCGATATTTTGTTGCCAAATATTGCTGAAGTGTGAAAGAAATTATCGATATCGATATCTTCCGATATTATCGATATTTCTATAATATATGTATGGATACGTTTCAAAATATCATTGACTCGAAAAAATAATAATATCCTCAATATTTTGTCGATATTATCGATATTTTAGACTATGGCAGTGATCATATAGTAACGTTAGGGCACTCGTAGCACGAACACTCCATTAGGCTGAAGTGTCGAAGTGTCTGACACATGGACACGCCTCGGACACGGCTTAGACATGAGTCAAAGGTCAAGATACATGTTTTGGACACGGACCGGTCAAGACACTTTTGGACACGGTCAACTGAAGTCATGACACGGTAGGAACCATTTTGGAAATTTTAAAACAAAAACTGGTCACAACATAATTATTGAAACAATTGTGGGCATATTTGAAATAGTTTTAAAAAGTGTGCTTTTCTTCTCTCCCAGCCAGTCGCATCTTTCATGAAAAACACTCAACTTTTCTTCTCTTCCTCTCCACATATTTTTTCTTCTCATCTTATTTTATACTTGAAGTTGAAACATCAATAAATACTTACGAACTGATTTTTTTATTTTTATATATCAGTTTTATCATATTTTTTGAGTCAATTTTTTTTGTTTAAATATGCTTTTTTTCTTTGTTCCTTTGTAGCAAAGTTGATATTTTTGGTTGACTAAAGATACTGATAACAATTCGGTCATGAGAGAAGCATATTTTTGAGTGGGTAATTCATTTTTTTCTTTTTTGTTTTTTTTTTTTTTTTTTTTTTATAACCAATTCTTATTTTATGAGGTGGGAAATCGTTTTATGTGTGAATAAATATGTGTATGGTGCTTTATTTTGTTTAGGGAAAGACGAGTAATGCTAATTCAAATAAGGCCTCCTCTCATGCTCAATCATATTTTGTGGTGCATTAATTATTATGTATAAATGATGAATATGAGTACTTTGTTTTGTTTTATTGTATTATGACATTGAAATATTGAGTATGAATTATTTTTCAATATAAGTATATACTATTATAATTTTATTACGATTTATTATTATTTAATTGTCGTGTCATAGTTGTGTCCGTGTCTTAGTTTTTTGAGATTTTTCATGTTGCCGTGTTGCCTTATCGTGTATCCGTGTCCATGTCAGTGCAACATAGCTCCTATCCCTAACCCGCCATCTTTCCCACCTTCCATCTTTCTTTGTTTCTTTTTCTTTTAGGTTGTTCATGTTTACTCTCAAATCAAATTTGAAATATTTTAACCGGTTGAATTCTTTTAATTTTTCAAAGTGTTTTTAATAAAATTAATTGTATAAATAATTTGAATTTTTTTATTAACTTTACAAAAAAATTACAAATTTATGTAACATAAATGAGAATAGTAGAGCCAATTTTATTTAAATAAAGGAAATATTATAAACTACTCTAAATTAATGTAATCTATTAGAAGAAACACTCAAACTTAAATGCAAGAACATCGACTCATTACTCTAACCAACACGCCTAACTCACGTTTGAAAAATTCCACTTTGAATGTGAAACAAAAAACAAAACTGAAAAGGTAAGCCTTTGTTTAAATAAAAAATAAAAAATATCTGAAACCCCTATTACTGCATCACATACGAGAACCCATGTGATATAATTAACTGACCTTCCATTATTTGAAACACCACCAAAGTCACACAAACTCCTCTCACATACCCCATTCTCTCTCATCAATTGCTACAAAACAAAACCTGCCCCTATTGGTGCATTTAGTTAGTACCACCACCACCTCTTGTCCCCCAACCCCCACCTCCCTCTCTCCCACGCTCTCTCCCCCTCCTCAACCCCTCGCAACCTACAAAAGTGTACCCACAAAAACAACACCAAAAAACAAAAAATACCCAAAACCACCACTAACCACTAACCCAAGCCCACATACAAAAATGCCAAGCCAATCCCCACCCAACCAAGTCATAATAATAGGCTCATAGTCTCTTTAGCCACCCACCCTCCACCCACCGCCTCACCCACACAAGTTATTATTTTACCAAATTACCAACAAATTGCTGATGATGGTGATGATGATCAAATCAAAGAATGACAAAGATAATGGGCAAAGTCAGACAGAGAAGGTGGACCTGGCCCCCCACCTCCCTCTCCCTCTCCCTCTCTCTCTTGTGGTGGTGTGTGCGCGTAGGTTAACTAACCCCCACCCCCCTGGCGCACGTTAGCCACCTCACCCCCACCTAAGCGGTGGCCTCATCCCACCGCTCATCTCACCCCACTAGATCTCAAAATCAGCCGCACACCCCTCCACCCACCCACCCCCCACCCTACCCCTCTTTAACCCACCACAAAAAACAAATCAATCATGCTACCAAACACCACTTTCTCCTCCTCCCCCAACCCTCATCCTTATCCTCCCCACCTTTCTCTATACTGCGCCGCCTCCCCTATACTTCACCCCCTCCCCCCCTAAAAAAAACCAACAAACACCCCCATCCTCCTCATCTCCTCCTTCTCCTCCTCCACAACACCGAACGCAAACCCAGCAGCAAAGCAACCAACCATGGCTTCTTCTCCTCCATCTTCGCCCCAAGACGACTCCATCCTCCCTCTCCAATCGGACCCACCGCAGGCCGTCCCTCTGGCCCTCCCGGCCCCACCGCCGCCCCAAACCCAGCAAACCCCGCAACCAAACCCAACCCCTCCCTCCTCCCGCCGCCTCCCTCCCCCTTGCTGGTCCCACGAAGAGACCATCGCCCTCATCGACTCCTATCGTGACAAGTGGTACTCTCTCCGCCGCGGCAACCTCAAGGCCACCCACTGGCAGGAGGTCGCCGACGCCGTCGCTCACCGCTGCCCCGCCGCTTCTCCTCCCAAGACCGCCGTCCAGTGCCGCCATAAGATGGAGAAGCTCCGAAAACGGTACCGGACGGAGATCTCGAGGGCCAAGTCCATGCCTTTGTCCAGATTCACCTCTTCCTGGGTCCATTTCAAGCGGATGGATGCTATGGAGAAGGGTCCCGCGGCTGCGAAGAGGGAGAACTCGGAGAGTCCTGGGGAGGAGGACGAGAATGATGAGAATGAGGAAGAGGACGATCAGGATCAGGAGCTGTATGAGGAGCTGAGATATGGGTCGAATATGAAGAGCATGAGCAAGTTGTATAGAAATGGAGTTGGGGTTGGAGGCAGTGGTGGAAGTAGTGGAGGTGGGTTTAGGATTCGGATCCCAACTGGGGTTAGTATAGCTCAGCCCGGGACCAAGGTTTATCCGAAAATGGATCCGAAATTCGGGTTGAATTCGAATTCGGGATCGGGTTCAGGGCCGGGGTATGGGAGTGCTAAGGTGATGAGGGAGTGTGGGAATTCGGTGAGGCCTGGATTGGGGAAGAGGGAGAGGGAGGGGAGAGAGAGGGAGAGAGACCCCGTGGCGGAGATGGTTTCGGCGATCAAGGTTTTGGGAGATGGGTTTGTGAGGATGGAGCAGATGAAGATGGAGATGGCGAGGGAGATCGAGACGATGCGGATGGAGATGGAGATGAAGAGGACCGAGATGATTTTGGACTCGCAGCAGAGGATTGTTGAGGCTTTTGCCAAGGCAGTTTCAGAGAAGAAGAAGAAGGCCAAGCGAATGCCCTCCCCGGAGGCATAGCTGGGCTTGCAGTGGTTGAGTTTCCGGAAATTCTAAAGGAAGAATGAGCTTCCTGTTCATAGCAGCCAAATGCCTTTGCATCTTAGGGACTAAGATTGTGAGTTTATTAGTTGTAAGTTCTGTGTTTAACTTTCGCTTTCGAGCCACTTTTTACCATTATTTTCCTTTTAAGTCATGAGGAGAATGTGAAACTTGATCACTTTAGCTTGGTTCTGGTCCTTTGTAGCGATTGTAGCTTAATCTTTGTAGTTTGTAGTTCGTGTAGTGGAGGAAAACTATGTAGAATAGTTGTTGTCTCTCTGTTTATCTCTTGGTTTAATGCATAGAAGCTCTAGCTGTTAAAATCTTGCTCTTTTCTTTTGATCCGATAGTAAGAATGCTTGCTTTATAATAATGGGAAGAGGATTCTTTTGTTTTGGTTGGGCATCTTATCGAGCTTTGTTTTGGTAGTGAAAGGTGACTTTTTGATAGCTTTTTATGATGTTTTAGTACGGATATAATATCAACTCTAGGAAAATGTTCTCTTGCTTGGCACTACGAATCTGGACCATTGATCAGGTGGATTCTTGCATGAATGCGTTGCCCCGATTCATAGTTTGGCAACAGAAGTATTTGTCTAGCAAGAAAACATTACCCGTCGATTCTATTCTGTAAGTGACATACTAAATATGTGCAAGCTTTTACAAGATCTTGCAATGTTCCCTGGTTAACATATTATGATTGGAGAAGTGCGAGTTGATTTCATGGATGGTCGAGACTTTTCGTGTAATATAAAACTTTCTGCGTTGAATAAGGTTATTTGCTGGCTCTCTGTTGATAGTGTCAATACTTTATCTGTGGAAGTGAATGTTTCCTGCAGTAATTTTTTCTGGATTTGACTGGCTTTAAAGTCTTTGTTAAACCTTGGAGGTCTAACATGGTGAACTACATTTGTAGGATTCATGAGAGGAAAAATGAAGCATAGTCCCGGAGCCTATCAGAAAAGTTAGTTTTAAATTACCTGTACAGAACTTTTTGCCTGGAAATATAAATATAAAAGTAGGGATCTGACTAGAACGTTGGTAGTTGGGTCATTGGTTGGTTTAACCCCTTTGCATAGAGTGTGGTTATTTGGTACAAAGTTGTTCTTTGGTTACCACGCTAATGCTATGACCACCTCATGAAACCAAGTTTGGGATACCTTGGTAATATTCTCTTTCTGGGTTGTTGATTCATATTTGTTTGCCCTTTTAATGATCTTTAATTGCTTTGCCTCACGTTTTCTATTTCATAATGGACAAATTGACTTGATTTTGGATTTTTCGGGTAGTGTAAACATGCATCATTGGCATGTTCATGTTTTCCGGTCATGGTTAGGTTTTCCGACCTAATTCGTATGTTGATCCCTGGTCATGATCGGGTTTTCCGACCAAATTCATATGTTGATCCCGATTTGTTTTGGCCCCAACTATGCCCCAGTTCATGCCAAACACAAGAAATATTTTGAGATTGTTGTGACATAAGGAGTTAGGAGGGCAATAATGTGCCATCAATGAGACATTTGTTTGACGGTAGGGGGCATTAAAGCATCACAACGAGGCATTGAGCTACCAATTATGAAGGGGGGCATTGTGCTACCAATTGTGCCACAGTTAAGCTATTAGCTAATAATTCAAGGGTCACTAAAGAGAAGAAACAATACACAGCGATGAAGCTAAATCAGATTGGTGAAGCAGCTTTAGATAGCTGCCATGACCATTGGGCCACTCTATTGGAAGTCTCCTTTCTAAAGCCATAACTCACAGGCATTTCGATGAATGTTGTTTGGCTTCAGGAGGGGCCTCAATGGTTCACTTCTCTTATAGATGCAGACATAATCGTCAAAATTATAGAATCAATTTATGGGAATTTTTTGCTATCTACAAATTTAACAAGAAACAAATCTACCTAATAATGAGGAACTCATAGATGAGAAATTATAGAATACTACGGTAGTATGGCCACGTGGTATATATTGTACGCGTGTTATAATATGAGTGGACGACATGATTTATTTTCCCTCCTTACAGGGAATAGTATCTATAAATATCCACTTATATTATAACATGTGTACAAGATGTACCACGTGGCCGTACTACCGTAGTATTTTATAATAGATCTTCTTTGCTGCCTTGTATTTTAATAGCCTGAGAAAGCAGCATGAAACTTAGCATGATCTGAGCAAATTGGGGAGAATTCTTTAACTATAGCCGACTTGGATCTGCATTTATGTTCTTACTTGACTTTGCAATGTCATGAGTTTGACTTGATTCTTCGGACCCATAAATCAACGGGTCTCTCCAAGACAGAGACGTTAATGCTACTCCAGACCTCCTGTTTGGATGGAAGCTGGGCAATTTTCTCTGCAACTTCCATGTCTTCCGGAAGAACAGAACCGAACACGGTGTACGCTTTTTTCCACTCAAAATGGTTGGCAAGGCTGATGAAGAATTCCGGGCCAGAACCAATCCAGGCAACTGATCCTCTTCTAACGGTGTGAGAGACCTCTGTTGGAATGTTCTTAAATATGATCCCATGTGCTTCAAGTGTTCCTTGTATTAATGCGAAAGGCGGGCCAAATGGAGCCTATAGAGCTTACATGAGAAACTTCTGAATGAGAAATAAATACTACATCAAATCCATCTCTTGAGCAATGATATACTACAAGGGAGGAAAAGGTAGTATCTTTTACAAGCACTCTAAATCAGCAAGATGAAAACTCAGTTGTAGCTTCAAGTTATGAGGTCAAATAAACTTACATTTTCTACATGGTTTCCTAGCGAGTCCCAAAAACTTCCACGGTCTTCTGCACGATTAAAGTGACAACCTGCATAATGAGGTACTTGCAACATCTCAAGAATATAGGCAACAGAATGTGGGGCACAATCAGGAAACAGCTGCATAAATTGAAGAACAAGAGAAAACTTAGATGTTCCAATCATACAGTTTAATATGAGTACAAAAACTTAAACAAATATACAAGCCATTTTTCCTATGACTACAGTATCAGCATGACGTAATTGTAACAAAGACCTTAGCTCAGGGTTTCCAGATAAAAGAGATCAGGCATCTAATCCGGTAGTGAAAGCATTTACCTTTATGCGAAGAACACCATATTCTGTTTCCAAACCAACAATACCCTGCTGAGCAATGGATTCTGTGAGCAGACAAGTAGACATATGACAGAAAAAAAAATAAATAAAAAATTTATAGTCTAACTTCATTGCAGCAACTGCTATAATATATCAAGGATTGAGAGATTCATCGATCCTCCACTTGCAATGTCTTTTTCACAAATGATGAATTATACTACTTTTATTCCATAAGAATCTATGAAACATATATTTTTAGTTCAGTCATTTTTCTACACAAAACACATCAAATTTCTTGTCACCTCCCTCTTCTTCTCACATACTATTTTTCCTTTTCTTCAGAAAAATATCACCTCTCCCCTCCACCTCTCCTCTTATCACATTTGCGCTCCTCTTTGTAACACTCATTAAACTAACTGCCTATTTCAAATCATTACCTCCCTTACTGAATACACAATAATTTTTTTCTAATTTTTACAATCTCAAGTTACCGACTCACCTGAACTAAGCTTCTCCCAAATGCAAGCAGTCAGCTAAAAGGAATCAAAGGGAAGCCACTCTATCAAGGCCAGGTTTCAGAGCAAACTACGTTTGGTTGTTGGCTTACAACACTTCCACTGCACTACTCTGAATATTCATACATTCATTGTTTTTGTTATTTGCAATTATCTTTAATATTAAACAGGCATGTGTGCTTATGTCAACTAATCAACTCCTAATAAAACAAGAATAAAATTATCATCAGTTTACAGGTGCAGCAATGCCTTAAAAAAAAATAGAAAAAAGAAACGCCTACCAGATTACATATCGGAATACATAGTAACTAGCATAGTAACTAGTTACTCTGATCTGAAAATGGCTTTGAATTGTTTCGTCTCATAGAAGACAAGTTCATATATCACTAAGGAAAAGCATAATAAGAACTCTCTGGCACATATTCATAAGATAAACCCCCATATATAAGAACTCTCTGGCACATGTTCACAAGACAAACCCCTATATACAAGAACCAAAATTTTGACAATGTACAATATATCATGTCATTTGTGCTTGTAACTTTTTAATTAGTAATTTAAAACCAGAGAAACGTAGTACAATGCACAAAAATATTCACCTCTCTTTCTCCAAAGATGAATCCAGAAGTCCACATAACTAGATCACCTGAGTCTTTCCGATCAGGCTCCAAGGTATCCTTTTGTTTCTTTAACCAACACTACAAACATGCATAAGAGAAGCATCTCATAACCAAACCAATTAATTCAACTCAAGGATTTACAAAGAATGTAATCAATTAAAACCAAAAGTAAAAGTGGTATGCAAGATGCTACTTTCCACAATGGCCAAATTGATGTTGGTAGATATACATTTGAATCCAAATTTAAACACAACCCATCCATTCAAATATCAATAACAGCTACAATCACCTGAAATTGGAAAACACTCAATTTCCATTCCCAATCAGTGCAGATAACTTGCCCACCTTTTCCACCTTTCTTTTATTTTCAGACCAAAATTGCTTCTTTCACCAGTACATTAGATTCTTGTACAATGTATGAAAATTACACAACCCCATTATAAATTTCCATCTAAATTAGCTCACAAAGCTTCCCTTGAATTGACTAGAATAGACCAATACATAACAGATTTAATGAAACTGTTCCTGAAAGCAAAAGAGACAGAGAAACCATACCTCACCAAATCTAAGTCCACAAGCCACTCTGTTCCCACAAAACACCCAACTATCACACAAACAAGGCCCACCTTGATCTCCACACATAGCTTTACAAGCCATGCAGCATTCTTCAGAAGAATTGACCTTAAACTGAGAACCCCATTTCACAGCATCACCCCAAAGCTCCAAATGCTCAATCCCTCCACAACATTCTCCATCTTCTCCATCTTTTTCTTCACTCCCCAATGCAACTTCACCGCCATTCTCACCCAACTCTGAAACCGAATCAACAGTTATGCTATTGGGGTTTGAGACCATAGACAGGAAAAGATACACCATGCAACAGAAGATTGCACCCATCAAGAAAAGGGCCAGAAGTGCAAACCGGCCGAGTTCTGAGTCGCTCTGCCTACGACCCATTTGATTTTATGGAATGAAATGAAAAACCCAGAAACTATTCAGCTTAATTCTTTGGGTTCATGTTGTTGGTTCAGGAAATTTGATGAGATTGATTCTGTGACGATGATGGAACAAGCGTTACTAGCATTTGGTGACACGTTAGCCTTATTTTCGTTCGGTTCCACCTGAAACAGTTACCAACCAATCAGTAATGTGCAGAAATTGGATAAATAAAGTTGACTAAAGTGGATGTGTTTTATACTACTTCGTTCGAATTTTCTTACTATAGTTTAGATTAGCCCCGCATGTGCCAATTGATTTTATTTTTTATTTTATTTTTAGAATTGAAAAAAGATAATATAGGTAGTTATGTTCTATAAAAGTATGACCTATTATCTAATTTTGTTTTTAATTTTAATTTTTTAATATGAAATTATCATATTATACTTATTTAATTAATCATTTCAATTCTTAATATTTTGAATTAACTAAAGGTATTTTATGGTATTTTAAATGTTTCAATCTTTTCTGCCTTTTGTTTTATACTAGCCCCTAGGCACATGCGTTTTGGTTTTATTTTTTATTTTTATTTTTTTTCAAATTAAGAAAAGATAATATGAGTAGTTATGTTCCATAAAAGTAGGACCTATTATTTGATTTTGTTTTTTATTTTAATTTTTTAAATATAAAAAATGTGAATTTACTATATTATCCTCATTTAATTAATAATTTCAATTCTTAATGTTGAATCAACCAAGGACATTTTCACAATTATTTGCATTTTGCTTTATATATATAGATATATAGATTATATTAATATAAAATATCACTTGTATAAATAAATTTTTTAAAAATCAATAATATCTCACGTTTTGCATATATTTGGGCCTGGTTTTTATCCACCTTGATAAATGGAAAAATTTGGCCAATGCTTGGCCTGGGCTTGAAGCCATATGATTTATATAGAGTGATTGGGCCAGTTTAAGTGGTCTATAAATTGAATTATTGATGAGAGCTGATTTTCTCACTCATTATTGGCATAATTGACCGATTGATGTATGCTTTAATTGTTGGATATCTGAGTATGTATGTTTCTTAGGGTCTGATTCAATAGCTTTTTACTCCTGTTGTCAGTTGAATTCTGTATGCAATTTAGTTTTTAACATGTTTAGCCGCAAAGACATACCCTACGAAATCTTGTTCGACATCCTTTCAAGATTGCCTGTGAAATCTCTTTTGAAGTTAAGATGTGTTTGCAAGTCTTGGCATGCTTTAATTAGCAGCCCAAGTTTCATAAGCGCCCATTTCGAAAGGAATGACATGAAAAGTGGCTATGATTATTTTCTTATGTACACTAGCAGTGCAGCTTGCTTGTCAGTAGTTTGTCCTGAAACATATGCTAAGAGTTTGGAGTTAGATCTTCCCCCTATCTACTTCTATGGTTCCTGCAATGGATTGTTTGTCTATCTGATTATAATATGGAGAGTACATATTTATAGAATCCATCAATCAGGGAGTTGAAGAGACTTCCAAAAGGCACCATTCATTGCAAGCATCGTCTCGCTCTTGGGTTTGGCCTCCACACCGGCTGTATTGGTTTTTGGTATTGTTTTTAAAAGAAATAGTATAGCCGGGCGGCTATACTTGGTTTTTTTTTCTTCCATTTCTTTTAAACGAAATAGTATAGCCGCTATAATTGGTTTTTTTTTCTTTCTATTTTTTATTAATTATAATAGTATACCCTCGCGGCTATACCAAATTAATATCTATCAAGTTTAAACTAATGCAACTAGGAGGGTCCTTTTTCATAATTTTTTAATGCCAAAATTTTAACAAATAAAACACGTATGTATTTTATTTGTATAGCTGCGTGGCTATACGAAATTACTATCTATAAAGTATAAACTAATGCAACTAGGAGGGTCCCTTATTCATAATTTCTTTTTATAGTATAGCCGTTTGGCTATACTACGTTTAAAAAAAAAAGATTAGCATAGTCGTTCCTACACTAATGCAAGGCGCAATGGAAAGGTCCGTTGTTTTCAATACATATCTAGCCGTCATCTCTAGCTTCTCGTCTGTGAAAATTGTTGTGCCTCCTCTCCATGCGAAGCAATTTGCTACTCTAACAGTAACCCTCCATTTTTCTGGAAGAACTTGGATTTTAGCTTAATAAACTTATGCTTGTTCACAACTGAAATAAATAATTAACTACTTGATATTTTATATCATCTTAATTACCAATTGATTAATTAACTCAGTGTTTCCAATTTTTTGTAAACACTATGTGTATTAAACATAAAAAATACATGTGTATTTGTATATGAGTATTGTATGTTTGCTTTTTTTAAATGTAAACTTTATTTTAAGACGTCTACAGAACACAGATGTATTATTAAAAAATACGTATTTATGTGTATAATACATTATTAAAAGTGAAAATGCTAAAGTCGTTATATGGGTAATAACTTTGAAAAAGTATAAATAAATAAAAAATCAAAAGGGGAGACAATAGAGACTTGGGTAATGGAACTACTCTTTTTTAAAAATTAAAATTAAAACAAAACAAAAAACCAGTACGGCCGGGCGGCTATACTATTTTTAAGAAACATTCATAAAACCGCGTATGGCCGTGCGGCTATACTATTTTAGAAAAATATAAAAACCGGGAAGAGCCGTACTGCTATACGATTTATTACAATAAGAACGCTTAGCGCCTAGGTGCCACGTGTCAAAAAAAGTAAAGCCGTCCGGATATACTATTTTAAAACAAATTATAGGAAAGCCGGTATAGCCGGTTGGCTGTACTATTTTTTAAAAGAATTATAGAGCCAAGTATAGCCGCGCGGCGGTACGATTTTTTAAAAGTTACAAAACCGAGTATAGCCGCCCGGCTAATAAAATGAAAAACAAAGCGTATAGGTAAAAAAAACGAGTATAGCCGCGCGGCTGTACGATTTTTTAAAAGTTACCAAACCGAGTATACCCGCCCGGCTGGACTATTTTTACAAATAAAATAAAAAACGTGTATAGGTGAAAAAAACCGAGTATAGCCACACGGCTGTACATTCATTCATTGTTAGTGATATACGAATAAAATACGTATGTGTTTTATTTGGCAAAATTTTGTGCAGTTACAACTTAAATGTTCGGCCACTTATTTTTTAATATAAAGTATTTACATTTTGTAGTATATATTATTTTTATTCAATAATATGGAAATAGAATAGATTGACATGTTATATTTTTATTCAATAATATATATTATTATTTTTATACAATGGATAGATTGACATGTTATAAATATAATTTGTATTTCAAACGTTTGGCTAGTACTAGGATCACTCAATCGTACTTGTTCTTCTAAAAAAGAATTTAAAATGAAAATAAAGACACTGCTCTAATGTTACATTCAGTCTCTTTTGCTTGTACTTATCATTCTGTCGCATATTATCATAAACATATGTCATGTTGTATCATCAGTGATCTGATATGAACTATTCTTATAAAGGGGTTCTATCATCAAAACGCAATCAGATAGTTCCAGTCTCTGTATCTAAGTAGATGTACAATTTTCTATTTGTTGTTTAACATATTCATTTTACTATTTGTTTCAGAATTGTACACAGCTGTTTGGCTTTTGGATCATATCGTATCTATCTTTTTCCAGTCATTTTCTCTTCACATATATAAAACAGTTCGAAGTCGGAAAGGAAAAGAATTCCTAATTTTTTAGTTTATCTGAAAACAAAATCCTTTTCAGAAAAGGAAACGAACTAGTTGAGAGCCGCCTATAAATAGATGATGTAAGACGAGAAGAAAAGACGGAGACACAAAAAGCACACAAGCAAAAGTCAATTTTCGTGTTTCCTAAGGAATTGCTGTCTTGTTCGGTCGTCGGTTGTTTTGTGAAGAGAACGAGATCAAGATAGAGACGGTATGGAGGAGGTAAAAAGGGATGCGATAAAGAAGGATAGACGGTTGCTCAGGAGTTTCAGGGAGAGGTACCCTAAGCGGCCATTTTGTTGGATTGCATCTGCGAGGTTGGAGGAGCAGGCTGAGGAAATGGAGGCAGCGTGGCAATTGATTCCGAAAGGATGTGAGGAGTGCCCTAATAGTGAGGATGTGTGGTTGGAGGCGTGTAGGATTGTGATTGCGAATGCGAGGAGCAGCCCAAATCCCAATGAAGCAGGTAAGGCTGTGATTGCCCATGGATTGAAGTTGATACCCAATTCGGTGAAGTTGTGGTTGAAGGCTGCAAATTTGGAGCATGATGACTCGAGTAAGAGCAGGGTTTTCTGTCAAGGGTTGGAACACATTCCTGATTCTGTTTTGCTGTGGAAGGCGGTGGTTGATCTAGCCAATGCCGCAAAAGCGAATGAGGAGGAGGAGGAGGAGGAGAATGCAAATGCAAGGGAGAAGGACATGGACCCGTGGCTAACTTGTGAACCTGAGAGAGCTAGAATAATTCTTGCCGAAGCCCGAGAAAGTGGGGGAGGCACAGAGAGAGTATGGATGAAATCAGCAATTGTTGAGAGAGGATTAGGGAATGTCGAGGAGGAGAGGAAATTGCTTGATGAAGGATTAAAGAAATTTCCTTCGTTCTTTAAATTGTGGTTGATGCTTGGACAGCTAGAGGAACGGCTTGATCGTTTGGAAAAAGCCAAGGAGGCCTATGACTTGGGCCTGAAGCACTGCCCCAATTCTATACCGCTCTGGCTTTCTCTTGTTAATCTTGAAGAGAATTTGAATGGGGTGACTAGTGCTCGTGCAGTCCTCACACTAGCCAGGAACGAAAATCCTCACAACCCTCAACTATGGCTTGCTGCAACTCGAACTGAATTGAGGCATGGTAATAACAAGGAAGCTGATATTTTGATGGCGAAGGCTTTGCACGAGTGTCCCAATAGTGGTATCTTGTGGGCAGCATATATTGAGAGTATGGTACCCCTACCCCCTTCTCGATGGATGTCCAAGATTATGGATGCCCTCAGGAAATGTGATTACGATCCCCATGCCATTGCTGCTGTGGCCAAGTTTTTCTGGCATCACAGTAAGGTTAAGAAAGCAAGGACTTGGCTCGACAGGGCCGTCACAATTGCCCCAGATATTGGGGATTTCTGGGCTTCATACTTCAAATTTGAACTTCAGCATGGGACTGATGAGAACCAGAAGGATGTTTTGAGAAGATGCATTGCTTCACAACCAAAGCATGGTGAAAAATGGCAACCTATTCCCAAGGCCCTGCACAACTCTCACCAACCAACTGAAGCTATCTTGCATCAAGTGGTGGCTGTACTCGGCAAGGAAGAGAGCTCGCAGCAGGCAAGGCAGGCGCCCCAAACTGATAGACTCTAGTCCTCCCTTCTCCTGGCTTCTCCTTTTTCCGGGTTATATTTCTTCTAAAATGTTCTCCTAAATTGGACCTTTACCAGTAGTTTCACTTGTTGGCATCCTATTTATATGTTACTCTATTTACTTATCAGCTTTTTTCAATTTCCTTTTTTTATTGCCAATTGCCTTTGGAATGGATTCGGTGATGAGGCTTGGCTTGGCTTAATAATTACTTGTTCCTGTTTATATATAAATGTCTCTTTTTACATGTTCAGTTTTGATCTGGGTGTTATTATGTGTTTTCCTTTAGCTCCTTTGTATTTCCCATACTTCCCCTTCCATATTCATTACTATTTTTCCTGGCTGTAAAGTTATTTAAAGTAAGAAGCAGCTCAAAAAATTAATAAGGCGCTTAAGGAATTTCAACCAATGAGGGGTCGTAAAAGAGAAACAAGAGTGGAGAGTATATGCCCCTCTTTTTCAAGTAATGTACACTTTGGGATGGCCTATATGAAACCTTAGAACTCCCACATTAGGAAAAAAGAAAAGAAAATGTTGAAGGAGGGAAGCTCTCTTCTCTATTGACTTACAAGCCAGGAACGTCCACAACCACAGAAGGCTTTAGATTCACATTTTGCTTTGCAAGCTGGCTAGGTTGTGACATTTTTTTGTTAATGTCCATGTCATGGATTTGCTGGGCCGATCGGTTGCTTCCATTTGGCGCATTCGAAACGCTACACTTGGCAGACGGGATTCGGTTACACTTGGCAAACGGGATTCGGTAGTAGACTTTTAGCAGACAAAGAATTAATAATGTCTTGGCTTTGCTAGTTATCATGGGAAATGATTATGGCTTCGTATACCACATTAATGGGATCGGCAATGTGTGCCTTTTAATATCAATCTAATTCCTTCCTCATGCCTACGGTTTTCAACTCTGAGAGGAAACTTAAATTCCTCGCCGGAGATTAGCTGAAGCACGAGTAAGAGGATAGGATTTTGGAAAATCATTGTTGTCTATAGGCAGCGTCCCTTACACTAATGCATGATGCAGCAGAAAGGTCAGGTTTTTTCATTGTTTTCAATACAAATCTAGCCGTCATCTCTAGCTCCTCGGCTGTGAAAATTGTTCTGCCACCTCTCCATATTTGCTACTCTAAGAATAACCCTCCATTTTTCTGGAACAACTTGGATTTTAGCTTAATAAACTTATGTTTGTTCACACTGAAATAAATAATTAACTGATTAATTAACTACTTGATATTTTATGTCATCTTAATTACTAATTGCTTAATTAACTCGGGTTTTCCAATTTTTTTAAAAACGAAATCGTATAGCCGGTCGGCTATACTCTTTCCTAATTTTTGAAAGAAATAGTAGAGCTAGGCGGCTATACTCCCTTAAAAAAATAATAATAATATTACACCTGCGCAACTATACCAAATTAATTTCTATAAAGTATAAAACTAATGTAACTTGGAGGGTCCTTTTTTCATAATTTTTTTATGCCAAAATTTTAACAAGGTGTTTTATTCGTATAGCCGCATGGCTATACCAAATTAATATTTATACAAACTAATGCAACTAGGAGGATCCCTTATTCATAAATTTTTTTAACAGTATAGTAGCTTGGCTATACGATGGTTTTTTATTGAAAAAATAGTATAGCCTGAAAATTCTAAAAACGGAGTATAGATGCGCTAAAAAAAATTGTAAAAACCGTGTATAGCCGAGCGGCTATACTATTTCTTATTGTGAAAAAAATTAGGGGAAGCGCGAGTATAGCCAGGCGGCTATACTATTTCTTTTGAAAAAATTATGGAACGGTCTTGTCCAACCGTGCGGTTATACTATTTCTTTTTAAAAAAAATTAGGGGAAAGTGTAACTTTGTCGATCTTTGAAATGCATAAACAATTTTCCAACCAAAAGCAAATACATATATACATTGTTATCAGACTTCGGCGGAATCTCCTACACATCACGACTTCTCAGTTTCTCCCTCTTATGAAATACTTTCAAGCATCTGCTTCGTGTAATCAAACTGCAAACTTTCTCTCTGATGATCACCATCCACCTGCCTCAAAAAACCAAGAAATGGGCTCAGAGTTTTGTCAGTGGAGATGAATCTGGTGATTGAGGTTATCTTTTTGAATTGGGGTTCACTTTGCCTGAGGTATGCTTTATGACGCAGAAGCATCTAACAGGGCTTTCCCAGAGTACATGAGCCCGTTGGTCAGTTGGGCTAGGATTCTAGTTATTTTAAATTATTAGCTTTTTTTATATTACTTCTCTTATTCCAATTAGGATTCGGTTTAATTTCCTGTTAGTTTTTAATTTCCTTTGTCAATTAGGTCTTCTTAATAAGCTGATGTACTCTAGTGTAAAAAGGCTATAAAGAGACTCGAGCTTCTTTGGGATTTTTACCCTAGAACTAAATTATCGTTATTCCAACTTCAATTCTATTGCTTTGTCCTTCTATTCTCTCTATTTTGAGACTGTTTGGGTTGCTGGACAGCAGCTTGTAGTTTCCTGGTGTTGTCAGTTGAATTCTTTATGTATTTTAGTTTTGAACATGGTTAGCCCCAAAGACATATCTCCTTAATTTTCCCTTTTATAGTTCTAAGTTTACATAAAATGCCCTTCGAATAAAAACTCTGTTGCAAAGCTCTTTCAGGTATTTTGTATTTTGTATTTTTTAACTTTCCCTAAACCAAAATTGAAGAAAGTTTTATACCATTTTTTCCCTCTCTTAGCAAAAAAAACAACAACAACAACAACAAAACCACTGAATAAAATTGACCCAAAAAAAGAAGAAGCTGTCATTGAACAAAATTACTGGGATAAATTATGAACCAAGAAAAAGAAAGAAGCCTAGAACTTCACCCATCCTATTTCTGTCAATTTTGGACAATTAAAAACTGAATAGGAGACTTCAAAGAAAGAATTAGCCAAATGAGAGAATTAACTTTGCAGAGAAAATAGATCTCAGAAACAAGAAGAAGAATTGTTAGGTTGCTATTGATAGATCCCGTAAAGAAAACATTTGTATAAAAAAAGAGAGAGAAACATTTAGAAGACAAGGAAAGATGTAGAAGAGGGCAAAGTAACCAACGCTTACGGAAGAAAATAAGGTCTGAAAGAAAAAAAAAAGTCACAAAATATATCAACAGAGCAGATGCAGATGCTAATCTCACAATCTGGGTTGGGCCACTTCAGTTTTCCCAGCCCAAAGATAGTTAAAACTAGGGGTGGGCATGATTCGGTTTGGACTGGTTTTTGTCTCAAATTAGAACCAATCTGGTACTATTCATCCGATTTGGTTTGGTTCGATTTTAATAAAAAAAATTTCAAAAACTGTCCGGTTTCGGTTCGGTTTTGAATCGGATTATTAAAAAAAAATTTAATTTTTTTAAAATACAATTCTCAACTGAAATATTATTTTTTTACTTGAAAATTAACAAATTATTCAATTTCATATGAAAATAAATATTAAAGTTAGAAAAGAGAGATATTTTGAAATTGAACTTGGATAAATATTAGTTTTTTTAGTGAAACTAAAAATATAGCATTAAATATAAATATATATTGAAATTATACATTTTTTTTAATTTGACCGGTTCGGTTTTTGACCAATTGTTGACTTTTTGGTCAACTCAGTTTTTTTCCAGTTTGGTTTAGTGCGGTTCGGCTCGGATTTCAGGTTCGCCGGTTTGAGTGCCCACCCCTAGTTAAAACTGAACAAATGGGGTCAATAAAAATATCTCCGAAGAAGATGCATTTGATGCTACGAAATGAGATGCATGCAAAAACAAATAGTCTGCTGTTGAGATGTACAAAAAATTCATCCATGGCTTGTGGACGGTCCCTTCTTTCTGCCTGAGAGAGAAGACCGAGTGATTAGAGAAAGGGTGAGAAAGAAGCAAGCTGCGGTGACGAGCACCTTCCAGCCACGGAGGACACCGGAGTTATTGCTGCCTGTGGTGGTTGTAACTGTGATATCATCCTGTTGCTCTTCTTCTTCGTCTGGTAAACATACAAAATGAGAGAAAACCTCCTCTGGAAAACATATATACCAGACAAAATATAGATTCATTTATTATTTTGCTTTATTTTATTTTATTTTATTTTATATTTGGAAATAGTTGGAGTAAAATTATGAAACGCGTCAATAAAACATCACACCTGCCTTACCTTCTTCATCAGAGTCCCCAAGGATCGTATTGAACAATACTGGATCATAAGAACTATGATTCTCTTCTTGCACCTGCACAAGTCGGATGCCCAACTCCTTAACCAGAAACCCAGATTTATTAATTACAGAAACAACCACTTCATCGCCACCTTGTAACTGATCATCCAAATTCCAGTGGCTTAACCATATCATGTCTTCTCCTTCACCTGGAATACCGTAGTGTGATGGGCAATACATCCCCCTCAGACCCTTGCTCTTATTTTTCACTCTTATTAGTGGCATATGAGCGTGGTGGACAATAGGGGAATCATAGCCAGGATGCACATAGACAACAAATACAATCAAGCCTCGAATTCTGTGATGATCAAGTAATGGCACATTAAAAGATATTGAGGACCCTCTGCTTTTATGGCTGAATTGGCCGGGAACCCTATTCCCACAAAAAATGTGCTGAATATACCACATTCGTACAGTCCCTATATATATGCAATAGAACTGGCAATATTAGTCAACTCTTTCCTGTGATCATATGAGAGAGAGAGAGAGAGAGAGAGAGAGAGAGAGAGAGAGGGGCGCACACCTGGACGGGAATTGGATCATCCTTTTGTAAAATGGGTGCCATTGATTCCAACAAGTTGCACAATCCAAAGATGTTGATACTTTCTACATCTATACATTCAATGGCTAGTAACTTGTACTTGTGATGCCACTCAACTATGTTGTTGCGACTAAATAATGTGGTTGACTTAAAGTGACGGGATTGAACTGTCATTTTCTCCAATGAAATGCAATCTACAATATCCAATGTGTTTACTTTTGGTAACCCCAGAA